GGCTGGCCACGGCCCCCAGCCACCCAAGCTCCCAGTGGAGGCTGGCTGGAAGCAGGTATCTGGGATTTATTTATCTTCTATAATTGAAACTTTGTTGCCTTGAGTGGAGGCCACAGCTGGCCAGGGCAGGCGGGAAGCTTGGCTTCCTCCATCGCCGGGGCAACCAAGCCTCCTGCTTGCTCCAGCTCGATGGCTGCCGGCCGCCATCTTGGTTGGGTTAATTTGCACAAAGTCGCTCTGATTGGCTGGTAGGCGTGGTTTGGGGCATAGCAGAGGTGCGGTCAGTTTGCATGTTTCTCTCTTATTAGATTAGATTAGATAGATAGATAGATAGATAGATAGATAGATATAGAGATATCTTTTACTTTTTCAAGCATTTGGAGAACTTCTCATATTTAGGTATCAAATCTTCACATTCCTTATATAAATGTACCATAATGTACTTCTTTCCCTATTGTAGACCCATAGGTTGCTCTGATCTTTCACTATTATAGGCAGTCCTGCAAAATACAAATATTTTGGTGCATAGGTGTGACTATTTCTACAAGACAGTTTATAAAGGCATAATTGCTGGGTCAGGGAACATGTCTATTTAAAATATGGATAGCCCTGGCCAGTGTGGCTCAGTTGGTTGGGCATCGTCCAGTGCACTGAGAGGTCGCTGGGTGGATTCTGGTCAGAACGCATGCCCTGGCTGTGGACTTGGAGTGCAGGAAGCAGCCAATCAATGTTTCCCTCTCACATGTTTCTCTCTCTCTAAAAATCAATAAGAAAAAAAATATTTTAAAAAGTAAATAAAATGTAGATAGGTACTGCTGAATTAATCTCCAAAGAGTCTGCCAGTTTCTACTCTGATTAACAGTGCAAGAGCACATTTCCTTTAGGGAGGCCTTTGTCCTTGCTCCAGGTGAATGAGAAGTACAGTTTTTCAGTTTTTGCTCATCTGAATGCTACAAAGTAATATATCTTTTGTATTTGCATTCCCTTGTCTAAAGGTGAAGTTAGCAAGTTTTCATATATTTGTTGGCTTCTTTCATTGTTATCTCTTTTTGTTGTTATTAATCCTCACCCGAGGGTATTTTTCCCATTGGTTTTTAGAGAGAGTGGAAGGGAGGGATAGAAGGGTAGAGAGAGAGACATCAATTGGTTGCCACCGCATGCGCCCCGACTGGAGCCAGGGATCAAACCTGCAACCCAGATACGTTTACATGCCCTTGTCTGAGAATCGAACCTGCGACCCTTCGATGCGTGGGCCAATGCTCTGACCACTGAACCACAGCGGCCAGAGCCATTGTTATCTTCTTGATTGCATGTTCATATCCCTTGCCCATTTTCTTTAGGTTTGTTAATTTGTTCTTATTGTTTTCTAGTAACTCTGTATTCTTGGGATATTTTTTTCTTTCTATATGTGTTACAAATATTTCTTCCTAATCTGTTATGTGTTTTATAACTTTACTTAAAACTGTTGTGTAATCTTTGGGACTTCTGGGTTTTGTTGTCTTTTTTAGGAAGGCCTTTCTACCCTAATATTATATATACATTATTCTAAATATATTATCTTTTAATGTTTTAAAACTGAGCAATGC